ACCCACGATCCCGGTGTTCGAGCGGGCGAAAAAGGTTCATGCCTTAAACGGCGCGGACACTGTGATCGGCAGTAATTAAGACTATAGAGTCGAATATTAGAGGAATAATGAATTGGGAAGGATGTGGAAGGGAGCGATTGTGGTCTAATTTGAAGTACTATCTTCTCATTTTCCTGAAGGAATTGAGGAGAACCACAACAAAAATTATCCCTCCAGAATGGCCGGTGTCCCGGCCGAGATTCGAACCAGGCACTTCTCAAATACAAGTCATCTCCACTGGTGCCGAAATTAAGAATAGTCATATAGTCTACCTCCAGTCTAACAATAGACAATGTGGTGTTTATAGCAGGGAACATGTAATTGACCTTTTTCTAACATCAGCAATGATCTCTGTGTTATTGAGCGAAAACCTGAAAACTTTTGCACTATATTTCGACGACTGTCAACAGTAGACGTATTTAGCTCTAAATGAAGTGAGAGGGTGTTTATGTATAGTGACCTGGGGAGGGCTGCGGAGGAAGTGTTAAGGACATTCCTGATGTTAGGATTATTAATCTCCTAATCAGGATAATAGACGCCCTTGCTGAGACCCGAACAAGAGTATGTCAGATGGCCCACAGCTTCAGCTAGTATAAGAAATTTGTATAACAGAATACCCTTGTTCTATTTTTCCCCTGTACTCCTGAATAAGAAGTGAACACTGCTTCAGTGATCTGGGTCCCTCCAACAAGCTATCACTGTAACGTGTTTGGAAATATTCCTGCCAACGCAAGACAATTGGCCATGGGTTTCCTAACACATAAATTATCTTACTTAATATTTGTCAGTACAACAGAAAGTGCGTAACAGGTGACCGAAGCAGATGCTACAGGGTTCTGACGATGGTGTATAACACACAGAGACTTTCGGACTTTGTCCATCGTCCAGATTCTAAATAACTACGAAAAAACACACAGCGTTTCGGAAACTGGATCTGTTTCCGAAACGCTGTGTGTTTTCTTAGTTATTTAGAATCCGGACGATGGACAAGGTGACCGAAGCTTCTAAGTTAATAACAAAGACAAGTGAGTATGCTTTCAAGTTCAGAATTCATTCATGTTTATTAGTTATATATTTCACTCTTCATAATGCAACTTACATAAATGACTAAAGGCTGCATGGCTATTGCCACAATCATATTTTATTCATTCACTGTATGTTTACGTTATGAATACAATATTTTGAGGCCACATATGGTCATCTTCAGTTATATTTTATAAGTTTCTTCGCTGTATTTTCCTCTTATCAAGCAAAATTCTATTAAAAGTAAATTTTAAGTTACGTTTTTTAAGAATTTGAGGTTCTTATAGCGGTGATTAAGAATAGTTCTCTCTTCTGGGATATAACGCCATGTATTCCGTTGAAAGTCAAGAAATGTTTCTAGGGAACATGTCGCCTCCGTTTTCAGGTCAGTTCACTTTCATCGGGGTGCACGGCATTATGTCATAGAAGATAGAACTCTTATATATTTCAAGTTTAAAATTATGATGAAAATTAAAGTACATAACTAGTCCAAGCATTCCTTTGGAGGACGAATGCTATAACACACTCGTCGTGTGTGGATATTTGTAATTCACATGTCGTCGTCTCTTGTTCATTGCATGTTCATGACGGCGAGTGAAAGGTGCCTTTTGAGGTTGAGTTATTATTGCGCCGTATGCATCTTTTAAGGTACTGTGTGGCCGTTTGTCCTTGTTTGTTGGATATGATGTTTGTGGATGGTGAGTGAAACCTGCATATCATTCATTCGTTCATTCAATCAATCAATTAGTCAATCAATCATTCATGGAAACTCAATATTAATCATTACCAATTTTTCGGATAGACTAATAATAGCCCGGCATCTGGATGTATGTCTACTGTGTACTCAAACTTAGACTCATAAATATGTGAGTCTGACTTTTACCTCGTGCAGCAGAAATGTGTTCCATATTTCTGAACTGAAGCAGAAATTTGTGACACAGACTTTGCAATTAAAAAAAAAACTTCGTGACCTGTAGTCCGCAAGCGAACTATACTCACCAAGCGACCGCCGCTTGTCGGCGAAGTTAGTGCCAACTTTAGTGGATAGAGGGTGTCACGTGGTCAGCGCAACGAATCCCCACGGCAGTTAATCTCGGGTTTCTAGACCGGAGCCGCTATTTCCTTGAAATAGCTCCTTAATTATCGTCACGAGGCTGAGTGGCCCCCGTTCCAGACCCACTACTTCTCCGAAAATCTGGTAGCGCCGGGAATCTAACCTGGCACCTCTGGGTCTGTAGGCAGGAACTTTGACCAAAGAGGCGGTCCGGACTTTGCGATTAACAATGTTTAATTACGCGTTAGAATGTTTTACGACGTCGTGTCATCTGTAGACGGCGCACAAAGCCGAATGATAGTAAAATGCGGTAAATTTTGCATCCAGAGGAATAGGGCTATTATATTCTTTCTTAGTCTGTCATTAGGGAATCCTATAGGAAAACTGACGATACTCAGCTAACAGTCGCACAGCTGAGAAGAATTTTTCGCTTGGTTTTGCACCCTCCCCCCTAGAGGCCTCTATTCATTCGAAGAGGTTAGGTGGTCCCCTTTCATAATATGATTTGTACATCATTTTACCTACTTAATCCTATGTCCATTTTGCATTATTTATAAATGCATTTCTGCATATGAATGTAGTTCCGTCACAAAGCGCTCTATCTCTCCGTATTGTTTATGGAAATTACGGTCCAGTTATTGAAAGATGAAATAAGATTATATTCACTCTTTGTCTATACAAACAATCTCCGTGGTTTTAGTCGGCAAACGAACTATGCCGACTAAGCGACAGCCGCATGACGGCGAAGTTAGTACACACGTAATTTCATTAAAATATCTGGGCAATGCCTAGAATTAACATTATTCAATTGTACTTTGATAAGAAGCCCTTATTCTGGCAAGAACATTCTAAGCTTTAAATAGCTTCTCTCACTTAATTGCGTATTAACAACGTTGCAGAAAATTTTCTACTAGAAAATCTCTAAGTGTGCGATGTGTGATGTATATACTGTGTGTATTCATTCTGACATTATTTTATTAAAATATAATCCTTATTTCTGCTTTTGAGAATAAACTTGGTTGAGTTAATGTGTCAAAGCACAATAAAGCTAGGTGAAGAACCCTACTGTATGCGAGCGCAAGAAGTGCATAACAGATATAATACAGAAACATTAATACGAGTAACAGACGAGATGTATTTACATTTTTAACAAACATATCGTATGTAGTACAATGTACAACATATTGTCCCTGACCTATGCCGGCCTCAAGTTTAGTTATATTGTCCTATTTACTTGTTTCTGGTTCATTTAATGACGCTGTCATTTGGTCAAACTATAGGCCTAGAAGTGTTAAATAGTAGAGTGACTATTGAATAATGAATTAGAAAAGTTATGGAAGGAGATAGTCATTGCCTTGTTTTGGGTACTATTACACGATTTGCCTGGACAGACTGAGGAAAATAAGAATAAAAAAAAAACTCGGGCTGGCGTGTTTCTGGGCCAATTTGTGGGTCTGTGACCTGCCGTATAAGAAGCAAGAGTGGTACTACAGATGATTTATTCGGCTGCGACGTTTTATTGTTTTCTAGAAGTATGTCTTTTGCCATACCGCATTACGTTACATTAGGAATTTTTATGATGCTTTTAAAAATAGTATTCCTGTGACAGAGTGTATCTAAATTAATTTTTACCAAAATAATGCGAAGTTTGCTGCTGAATACTAGCTGCTTGTGCTACTGCACAAGTTTCGTAATTGGTCCTTTCAAACATACACGTAGTACTGTTTTCCTGGCAAGTCTATTTCAAAAATAGAATTCCACGTAATATGTGGTATATGCGTCAGTCGTAACTTTTTATTTTCAATAATTTATGTTTATTGAAATGTTACTACGCTACATGTTTCGGTTATTTGAACATCATAAGGCGTTTTATAAACAATAAAATGTGCCACTGTTCGTTACTGAACTGCGTAGGCAGTTAAAATATTTATCAATAATTAGTAAAATTTTCTGAAGAAAATATTGTTTGTTAGTTTGGTTAAAGTTGTTTTGCTTAATATATGTGGGGGTTATAATGAGTAGAATTGGGTAGGGGGGAATGGAAAGTATGTGATAAATTTAAAAATTTTCTTTTTATTTGTTATAATGTTGGTGTTATTTCAGGCGCGTGCTATGATGCGTTATAGTTTGGATCGGATCGGCTCGGCTCGGCACGGTACGGAGAAACACCGCTTTCCTCATGTTGCATAACAGCGTTCCATATCCCGTTGCCCAGCAACGGTTTGACATGTCACAATACCCACATCATTATAAAAAATTTTAACCTTACTGCAAACTTTCCATTCCCTCCCCCCATACAGAATTCTGCCCATAAAACCCCCATACATATTAAACAAAACAACTTTAACTAAACTAATAAACAATATTTACTTTAAAAAAATTAATAATTATTGATAAATATTGTAATAAATTTGAACGTTGTAACCTGTATATATTTGTATTTACATAGTTAAGACCAGTAGCAACGAGTCCATTGCATAAGCAGTTCAGTAATGAACAATGATACATTTTATTGTTTATAAAATGCCTGGGTCAAACGACCAAAACATGTATTTACTAACATTTCAGTAAACATAAATTATTGAAAATAAAAAGTTGTACTTTTTATTTGAGGTGAAGCAAGACTCCTGTGAGTAAAGAACATAATTTGTAAATATTATTTAGAGGAAATCCTTCCTGTGAAGGGTTAATATGCAGAATGTTTTGTAGATTCTAAAGAGTTCTGACAATGGTGTATAACCCTTGGGATTACTGGGTTGTTGTATTCTGTCCACTGTCCGGTATTCTAAAGAACACAGCATTTCAGAAAATGAATATGTTACTGTACTAAGCTGAGGGGGTGCGACATCTACTCATTTATTCATATATTCTGAATTTCTTCCAGATGAATGCAATTCCCAACACTGTGCAGTCCCAAAACACTACAGAGAGATAGGATGCACACCTGTATTTGTAGAAGGCTCTTGCTGTCCCAGCAGATTTGACTGTAGTAAGTAAACATTAAGAATCTACCTGCTTGATGCACAGGCCTTCATTTGTATCCAAAGCTAGTAAATTTTTTAAACTTATTGGAAGTCAGTATTGTTCATTTTTTTTATGCAGATCATAGAAAGTCATATTAATAAGTCTTTTAGTATATAAGGAAATTCTGGACCACAACTGTACAGTTCTGAACTGAATTTCATCTCAGTTTCTGAAGACTGAAATTTGAAAGTATTCAAAATACTGGATATTTTAAATGAACTGCATATTTCCTTAGTAAACCCCTAAAGAATTTCTTTCATTTAAATCGAATCAGATTAAAGGAATATAATGATTATGCCAGCATCTATCAGAAATGAGAATCCATAGATATTTCTAACACATTCAAACCAATACAGCCATTTCTTTGACATGACCATGCCACCTTAATATAACACAAGCTGTCATTCTTTTTATGAGTTTATGTGGTTCCAACAACAAATGGTATAATATAACCCTAAAATTATGCAGTTCATAATGCCACTTGCCTTCACTAGACCTTCGTTTTCTGGCAGTACAAAATGGTGTGTCCTACCACATATTTTCTTTCCATAAAAGAAATAAAATGAATATATTGTTACTAAGAATTTAAGACACTGAAACAGTCAAGATGGTGGCTTTCATATGTAGAATTCAGTATTATCTTTATTACAAGTTTAAGGGTGTATTTTTCTTCAAAGCTTGAAATATATGTTTCTCTCATTCTTGTCACATCTGAGTTCCCACAACTTTTCTTCTAGAAAACAAATTATTAACATTGTAGTAAATTGATACCATTTCATTAATATATACCAAAATGTGGCACAGTAAAAGCTATCTGCATATTTATGATATTTTTATTTTATTCATTAATCCAAATAAAAGTCTTACAAGTGGAAAACTGTTTCAGGTTCAATATATGGCAGAGATTCTCAAAAGTGTTATTATAAAGGAGTAGCATATGAAGTAAACAGTGAGGTGAGCCCAGATGCAACAAATCCTTGCACAGTGGGTTGCCGATGCAATAGTTTAGGCAGCCGGTGAGTGAAAGCAGAAATCTCAGCTTAAGATGGAACAAATATTTGAACCATAAATTTATTTAGTAATGGGTAAATGGGGAAGAGCACATAATTAGAGGTTTTGTATCCATTATTTAAAATTGTTAGAATGACTAAAAGAAGAATGGATGGAAATAAAATATATATAAAAGTTTGGCTGAAAACTTCATACAAAGAGACCATTAGTAGATCTATGTATGTAAGGTGGAGAATACCATTAAAGTACTATTACAGAAATATAAAGATTTGAAGTGGTAAGCCTTTTGTAGACATAGTGAAGAATATCTGAATACCATAAACAGTGATAAGTCTGTGACCTGCTGCATAGAGATATCAATTGCTCAACTACGTTGCTCTGTGGAGTTGCACAGTTATGCGCAAAACTTACTGTGTAAGTAAATGTGTCTGAGAACTTCTTTTCTGTACAAGAATTGAAATATGCTAATAACACCTGAATTAGAAATGCATGATTCTGTATTTTAGCATCCCGTTGCAATTGTCCAACTTAACATCCATTATTTATCATCAATCAATATTGCAACACTCTTCCATTCACCACTCAATTTTAGTTTAAGATTATACACCTTGACACTACATGTTTGCACCCCAAACAGCCATCTTCATATGTCTTGATATGTTACAAATATTTTTATTAAACTGTCTTAAAACTACTAATAAAGACAACACCACACGCTGTGAAGAAAACACGCAAACCAGGGGCATATGGCAGTCATAACTGAAAAGTAGGCTATGAATGTGAGGGGCAAGCTGTTGAGACAAATCACCCTGGACAGACATACATTTATGAAAATGGACAACACCCCGTGTGAGGTGAAATAATATGCACCAAAATAACGTGGGTATAATAGAAACTTTAAAGGATTTTATCTGGTTTTACCTTAAAAAGAGGACTAAAGCATATGATTTTAACATGAACTAAGACAGTGTAGCAGTTTTAATGCATTTTAACACAATTTAATAAAATAATTGTAACATATAAAAACACCTGAAGATGACTGTTTGGGGCCGAAACATGTAGTGTCAAGGTGTACAATGTTAAACTAAAAACTGAGTGGTGAATGAAAGAGTGTTGCAATATTGACGGACAATAAATAATGGATGTTAAGTAGAAATGCATGTTATCCAAAATTAATCTGAAGCCACATCCAAAATGTTTCAGAAGTTTGATACAGAGGTAAAATGTTGGACAGACAGATGGTTTTAAAGTGTACTGCCTGTGTTTCCCAATTTTAACATTTAATGATGAATTTTTAAATATCCCATATAAAAATATCTGTATGCAGCAAATATGAACAAGTGTAAACAAATGTAATGGGTAAACACCCATTGTAATAGTTGTTTCCAAACTGTATTGATGTCCCTCTGATGATGGTCTCTATGGACCAAAACATGTAAGGGCATGAACAATTGAAATAAGAAAAACATAACCAGTCGCACTGGAAAATTTTTTTTTTTATCTTTTATAATATTGTTAGTGTGACAGACCAGAATGAAACAAATCAAATGAACAAGTGGATTTTAAGTTTCTCTCAGCAAAGCAAGCACATATTATGTGACAGAAATATCTATAGCTTTTTGGTTAGTTCGTTGAATGGATGCTAGTTATTAATTTTGTTTCCTTGGCTGGACCTTATGAAAACACTCTGACAACTATATAAAATGGTATTGTATGCAAATTATCTACACACTATGGATTCACTTTTAAAATAAAACAAATACTGAAGAAATAACCAGATTGTAAAATAATGAGGTACATACTAAGCATACAATGAGCGCCCTCTGTAGTCTAGAGGTAACGTTCCCACCTCATGACTCGTGGTACGCGGGTTCAAACCCGGCGGAGGTCGTGGAACTTTTAAGGGCGGAAAAATTCAGGGAACAAGTCCTCTGGGAGAGACTTTAAGCTGTGGGTCCCGTGTCGTAGCTTTACGGCATGTAAAAGAACCTCATATCTCCAAAGGAGGTCACTGAGCCAAATTCAAGGACATTTTCCGCCCAACAGTAGTCTCTAACGCCTCTGATAGATGGGGGAAGCATTATAGATACCGCCAAGCCAGAAGAGACCGAACTTGCTGGCTCGGTCGGGACTGATGGTACGCACCAATATCGGTAGGGTATAGAGACTGGTAGAATATCATAGAGGGAAGCACAATGGACCAATACTGGTCTAAGTGCATGGGGAAACCCACCCTCTCCAATAACTAACTAAGCATACAATGAAGAACTGTTTTGTCATGGAACAAAAGAATAAATTTGCAAAAATTATTCCCAAGACCTGATACTCTTAACTAGTAAATGAAATATTTTGATATCAATATACCTGATCTGACCACACAAATAATTTATCTGTAGTATTAGTTGAACATTGTCGGGTATACTTAGTGATACTTTTTAAACATGGGCATTATAATAAATTAATTTGTACTGACACCACATTATATATCAGAGATTCAATTATTTCTATGGGGAAATTTAATATGCATATGTACTACATATAAAAGCTGAATTCTTGGAGCCCTTAAATTAATATATTGACTTTTTTGTTACAGATCACAACTGACATGTGTGAATGTTGAATGCCCTGAGCTGTTCCAAGAACCTCTGTCTGATTCTAATTGTTTCCACCAGCATACACTGGATGAATGCTGTTCCACGAACACTTACTGTAATGCATTCATGCATAAATTATCTGACTGGTGTATAAAAACAAACACGAATATTATATCTGTAGATTTCAAATGGGTATTCTCAGAATAGAAGAAAAACATTATTTTTCAGCACCATGATATCTGTACTTTCTTATCATCTGTTTGCCAAGCAAGATTTCCTTTATTCACTTTACCTGAAGAAATTTAATTTTTTTTTTAATGCTGGTGGTGTGGGACTAAGTCCCTTGTACTGTGGCCACTTCTGGACTATTGTACCAGCCCCAGATGATAGGTGAGGGTGACTGTGGAGCAATTGGTGGAATGAAGATTGGTAGGGGAAACCAAAGTATTCAGAGAAAATCTGACCCAGTGCCACTTTGTCAACCACAAATCCCACTTTACCAGATCCGGGATCGAACTCGGGCCGCCATGGTGGGAAGCCAGTGACTAACCACTTGAGCTATGGCGCGGCCCGACTGAAGAAATTTAACATAATGATAAATTTTCAGATAAGAAATTAGACTACAACTAAAGCTTTCCATTATAATGTACACCTTATTAACTGTGAATTCAAGAGAATTTCTATAATTTCAGGTCCAAACAACACAGAAACACAGCAAATGTCACCACTCTATGAATGTCAGTATGGTGGTAGAACATACAGAGAAGGTCAAGTAATCTATCCAGAAGACGCACCATGCAAGAAGTGTATCTGTCAGAATGGATTTAATGGTAAATACAAGTTCCATTGAAACACATAAAGCCTATTTTCTTACTGCAAACTACCAGTCCTGCATGTATTGTGTTCTGTTGTGCTCAATTAATATACAGATAGCTACATGAATGAAGCAGTCAAGTCAATTCCTTTATTGACTGCAACTGTAAATACTATATTACATATTATCGTTATGATCATCATCTTTCTGTGAAGGTCAGATTTTGTCTACTTTATTTGTAAAAAAACTTTCGAGTCTCACATCACAAATTTGTTAACCTGTAAACAGTCTCTCCTATTTAACTTCTATGTATGTTTATGATCTATCTCCATACCAAATTTAAGCTGCCTGGCTCTAATAGTTCATTAATTATAGCAATCACACTGATGGGTAAATACAAATTTTATGTAGTTCCACCACATAAGTTTCTGCATCCATCATGTTATTATTGCTAACTGCAGGGAATTAAAAAGTATGAGGTACAGATGGCCTCTAATGGCAGAACATTCTCATACAAAATTTCATGAAAACTGGTCAACTGGTTAAGAAGTTGAAAGAGAGGGCACACAGACAACAAGATGATGTCATAAGCCTAATTTCTTTCCTTCAGAAAGGCAAATAGGCCAGTAATAGACACGCATAATCCAATTATTTCTAGCAATAGAATGTTCTGACAAATATCTCTTCGGCATGACCTACAGTGATATCACTGGCCAATTTTTGGTCTAACAGGTTAAAAGTAATTAATTACTGGTACTGTGGCACAGTACAAACATGCAATATGCTTTGATATATGAGGCTGTTCTTTCTTTCAGAAATCAATCAGAAAAGAAATACACTTTGAAGGGTATTAGCTTTCTTTGACGTGGATCTAAAAACATTTCTTTCAATTCATTTTCAAGAAGTCCTTGGAGTTAAAATATTAATTTCTGACACTATCCTGTCAATAATTTCTTTGACACTACTCACAGTCCTTATATAGTGTGGCTGCTTATTTAGAGCACAGTTTTAAAGCCTTCCTGTTTCTTAACAGTGTATGCTAGGAACAGAAAACAAACTGGAAATGAATGAATGATAAAAGGTAGTAGATTACTGCAGCTTGTTTGAGTGAGGTATAGCACTCTGATGGGAGAATTACGGTTGCACTGTGCCAGACATATCATCAGTGAATTTGTGACTTGGACTGATCCATATCCAAGTGATTCATTTGTGGAATCAATTGCAACACCGTTTATTCTCTGGGGCATGCTGAAAAATAATGTTACCAGAAACTGAAGATGTAGTTCTACATCATAGGGTAGAAACTGTCTGTAACTAAACAAACATTTTATAGAATAGTGAATTGGATGCAGAGGTTGGTAAGCTCAGTTACTTCACTCTTTGGACCTTACTTCATTTAGACCTCTACCTTCAAGGCTATGTAAAACAAATCATGCACATGGTCAAAATCAGTAACTTGTATCACCTGACACAAATAATCAGAGACACAGCAGGGTATTTTACTTATTTATGGTTTGTTTGATACGAGGTTCTCAAGCTGCTTACTATGGACAGTATTATTTACTGGGATGTAAATCCATCTTCAGGGTTGAAGAGCAAAGCAAGAAACTAGAAAGAAGTTATCTGATGACACTTTTGGTAGTGCAGGTTATATAGCATTGAACAATAAGATAATTAACCTTTAACATTTGAAGTGAACCGATCGGTACAGTGATGAGTATGGTCATCATGGCCGGAGTACACTGATTTGTGTATTTGGGCATTCAAACTCTGCTAGCAGAAGCGCACGCACCCCCCTGCTAGTAGAAACAATCGCCCAATATCATATACACTCAAGTGCCAAAAGTCATGGGATAGCAGTATGTAAATTTATTTTTAAGTGGCGCCACCGCCCCCTGATGGCGTGGGAATGCCCAGAGCAGTATCAGTTGTGAGAGGTTCTCTCGTGAGTCAGGTTGAACACCGGCCAGTCTGATCATGGCAAGCCGACGTGAATTATCGGAGTTTGAATGGGGGTGCCAGGCGGATGGGACATTCCATTTCCAAAATTGTGCAGTCATTCAATATTCTTCAATCCATGGTGTCACGTGTGTACCGGGAATACCCTGTGGAAGGCATTTCCACCCACCATGGACAGCACAGTGGCTGACCACGGGTGCTTAATGATCGTGGCCAGCGGTGTCTAGCTAGAATTGTCCGTGGTAACAGACAAGCGACACTGGCTGAAATCACATCCACATTCAATGCAGGAGGTACCAGACGCATATCCAGCAGGTCAGTGCAGCGTTCTTTGGCTTTCATGGGATCATCCATGACCAGGTTCCACAGGAAATGGGAAAGAACACCCTCTCATCGCAGACACTCCCAGGGTCTCTCCAGACAATGTAGCACTTATATTCCTGCTTTCCAGCATGGCACAGATCCATCTGCATATTGTGGGCTCAATGCCATGCCTTTCAGCAGCCTGTTTTATTGTATCAAAGGAGGTTCTGGCAGAGGCTCCCTCTACGTCAAGGAATGCTCCAAGGGCAATATCCTTGTGTACAATAGCATTTCATACATTGCATAATGTTACTACATTATGCAATACAGTTTCAGCAGATTCACCTATTTGGTAAGCATAGTGGTTTCGGTACAGAGGATGTATTTTCAATGCACCATCCCTAATATGTCTACCACTTTCTCCATCGTTTTCAAAAAGAAAGATGACAGGCTGATAGGATGATAAGCTTTAGCCTCAGTATAATCAAGTTTCCCGGGCTTCGGAATAAATGTCACTTTAACTTGCCTCCAGGCCACAGGGATAAACCCACGCGCCATGCAGGCTCTAAATATGCGGCATAGGTGTGGGACTAAATGTTCCGCCACTTTTTGCACAAGTCCTGGTACAATACCATCTGTTCCCGCGGACTTAAATGGATTAATGGTACCTAACGCCCATCTGATTTTTGATTGATTGATTGATTACCTGACCAGCCAGGTTCCAGTCTCACCTGTTTGTTATGTATCCACGTAAGTCCAGGTTCTGCTGGCCCCGCTCATCACCTGAATCATCAATCAACTTTGAATCTGGGAAGTGAACTCTGAACAGTTCCTTCAGTGTCCCTTCTCCAGCTTGGGTATACTTACCGTCAGGCAGCTTGATAGTGCTGACCTTATTGGTTGCCTGTTTTGCCATGACCCTCACGAGTCTGGCACTTTCTGGTACATCATTGATCTCCTGGCAGTAGCTCCTCCATGAGGATCACTTGGCTTTCCTTATCTCTTTATTGTAACAGGTGAAGGTTTCCTTGTGCCTGTAGGTGACCCACTGCCCTGTCCTTTTCGCTATAGTAAATAGTTTCTGTTTAACTCTTAGCCCACTCAGCTCTTTATTCCGCCAAGGTGCATTCCTTGGTGAGTGAGTGGTCTTGGCTGGGCAATTATGATAATAGGACAAGATGATGGCCCATTGCAACTGGTCAACTGATCGATCTATGTCCCTTATCGTCATTCATTTATCATAAAAACTGTATTAGATACAGCATTTTTTAATACAATGTAAGCATCCTAACAGGAACTAACATTTAAACTCAGAGCAGCAGGAATTTAAATGAATGCCGGCTAGCTCAAGCTACCACCATGTTGAAAGTCTGGTGTTTAAAGGTTAATGATGAGTTGGAGTGGAAGAAAGCAATCAGTCTCTTTCAAGCTACTATCTTGGAACTCACCTAGAGGGAGTGAGAAAGCCTTGAGGAACCTGGATCGGAATGTTCGGTGTTCTGGTCAAGATTCAAACTGGACACCTCCCGAATATGTCAGAAATGTTACTGCCTGAGCCAGCTTGCTTGGTCTGAGACTATAACACCAGATGCCCTCATTTTGGCATGGCACGAAAGGAGATACTAATTACTTTGCACATATACAGAGTGATTCATATAGAACCGGCCTGACGAAATGAGCTGTAATATAAAATATACCATACAGATATTAAAGTAATTTACACATATCTTATCTTGGATTGTGTGCCGTGATCAGAGCAGGTGTTGAAAGTGTCCGCCGTTTTCAAGTAGGCACTAGAAACACTCGCTGTTCAACAGTGTACTCCATGACTGTCGCTTGCGCACTGCAGACACGTTTCTGGATTGTCCTTGACCTTGCAGCATAAGGGCTGCCACTTGCCGGATAATGCGCACACCATTCGACTCAGCACGTCCCAGATTATTATGTCGTAATTGTGAGCGGTTATATGCATCGCCTGCGGAATTATTAGCAAATTCATCGGGCCGGTTCTATACGATTCACCCTGTATAATCAGTAAGGCTAATATTAAAGTCCACTAGGTACATAAGTAAACAGTCACTTTTCTTTAAAGGATTCTGATGATGGTGTATGCTGTATAGAACTATAAGGTTTATTTTGGACTCTATCCATCGTCTGGTATATATAAGACAAAAAACCACAATGTTTCGGAGACTGGATCTGTCTCCGTCCTCAGGTGGATGGGGCAAGAGAGACCTACTCAGTTGGGCCCGTTAGAAAGAGCTAGTCTCAATCACTGGACTCCAGTGATCCACCTGAGAACAGAGACAGATCCAGTCTCCAAAACGATGTGGTTTTCTGTCTTATATATACCAGACGATGGACAGAGTCCTAAATAAACCTTATAGTTCTATACAGTCACTTTTCTGTCTTTTATTTCAAGTTTGTTTCATGTTCCTAGCACACAGTGTGATGAAACAGCAAACTATGTCATGCCTATACAGTTACTCTGCACTGTGGAGCCGTGCCATAGCTCAAGTGGTTAGCTGCTGGCTTCCCATCATGGCAGCCCGGGTTCGATCCTGGATCTGTTCAAATGGGATCTGTGGTGGACAAAATGGCACTGGGGCAGGTTTTCTCTGAGTACTTCGGCTTCCCCTGCCAATCGTCATTCCACCAATTGCTCCACAATCACCCTCACCTATCATCTGGGGCTGGTACAATAGGCAAGAAGTGGCTGCAGTACAAGGGACTTAGTCCCACCCCACTATCAATAAAAAAAAATACCCTGCACTTTTAGAAATTGGTAAACAGAGTTATAAAGTAACCTTGATACCAATGACCAGCAGAATGGTAAGTTATATTATGGACATTGCATTATCACTGAAAGATTAAAATATTTTTATTTCATAAATTAAAAGAAATAGCAATTCACAAGATCATATATTTAACCCTTTGTCTATTTCATTCATAATAATGGAGCCAAGTGCTGTAACCTCAATTTTCTTTGAGGTATTTAAACCTTAAATTGGATTTTACTGTTAGAAGGAACATACGACCCTTTTAATTACTGTGTTCTACTATGTCAGTAGCAGTCAAGGTGTGGAAGAATGAAACTTTATATATACAAGGTGAAGCTTTCATGACAACAGTATACTACGAAGTCTTCTCATGTGATCAGCCATATCAACACGGAACCAGTGTCTGACATTTCAGACTGTCTCCATGAGTTGATGCGATGAGTGCTGTGTTCACACATTCCACAATATCATGGCTGATCACCTGAGAAGAATTCACTGAAACTTTATATGTTATCAGGAACTTTGTCTGGACCATGGTGTGAAGAAATATCTTGTGGCATTGAACTGCATTACAGCAGACAAATCAGTGATGGATGTGTTCCAGTCTATTATGGTACTACAGGCTGCTGCCCCATTGACTGGCGGTGTCGTAAGTAGAACACTCTTCTTTATGACTATTCATGCAATATTATTTTTACCTAAAGAACACTGCCAAGGTGATATTATTATCAACAACAGATTAAACTCTCTTTATGTCATATATCTTTATCATGTATACTACTTCTAGTATAAAATGTGTAATACATTTATAAGTAAAGGGACTCATCTGCTATGATCGTATTTTATTTTAACAGCAGATGTCAATGACTCAGTAGTCACAAGTGTGAATGCAACGTCAAAAACTGCAGGTAAGCTCAGCCTCCAGTACTTGTTACTTACAAAACCTGAACCCCTTAATTGACATTAATGAACTATGGGCTCTATAGTTTTGCAATCCAATCACCATAACAACCAGTACAGAAACAATTCAAAATTATCATCCCCAATGTCTGTTTATATTTGGCTAAGTAGCAATTTAAACCCAACAGAATGAAATCATTTAAAAAGCAATCTCTCTCTTTACAATAAAATTGTAACAGTACTACTGGAGATTATGAATGTGCAGACACTGACTGCCCACGTAGGACTAATTCTGCTGGTAGTTAGATCTGTCAATGACAGTCCCTCTGTTGTCAGCTGTCCTCATCTTTATGAAAAATGCATCTTTACAGGAGTTTTTTAAAATATGACTGGATTTGGAGTATGTGAAGCAAAGTCCTTAGTTTAATCATAAAAAAACCATTCATATAATCTTGTAAACGTATGTTTCACCATATATTTCAACTTACAAACAGTTAATCATACATGAGAATTCGTGTGTTTCGTGAATCACTAATAGTTTCTAATGTGCTACAACATACAGTTTGTTATGTTGTTATTTGTGACACACAGTATATATAAACAGGAATCCACCTGATGATGATTTATTTTGTAAGTCAGAACATATAGTGGTGAAACACATATTTTAAAGGTCATATTAATGGTTTTTATGATCAAAATACTATAATTGAATAAACAACATGACACTCATTATAAAGTTTGAAAATCAACTGCTGTGTTCTTCTCAGTGATTTATTCTATATTTCAGAGCACAAATGCCAGTTTGGACAGTTGGAACTCAGAGTTGGTGACAAGTTATCCAGTACTTCCAACATATGTGTGGAGTGCAGCTGCGAAGTGCCACCATTAGTGTCATGCACACAGAAAACCCATACAGAATGCAGGGAGTGATCAACACAGTTTGCTGTAACATTTATGTCAATCACAACTTAGTTGACATATAAATTCACATCTATATTAATCCATCATCTCACTCCAAATAACTATTTTTATTATTAAAATATTATTCTGGAAAAAGTTTGATGTTTCAGAATTTATACCTTATGGACTATTGCAGTAGCCAGTAATAATAGAAGCATGTTTGATTCTTACAGTCAGTAATAATAGATAGCATAAAAGTAAATATAAGATCTGTTTGTAATATACAATCTCCATGTAAAGAGAAGATACTGACCATTACAAAGATTATGTTACTTTGAACTGCAATATAACAGTCTTAATAAAGAAACACAGTTGCTGTTTTTATTCCTCTTCATGTAATATTCATATCACATGGGTTGACTTGCATAAAGATTTTACACTGGAGACTTACCCTCCCACATTTATAAATATGAGCATCTCTTCCCCACCACATCTCATCCTTTCAGCTGATCCACATAATAATGTGGGCATTATTGTATGTTTTCACCCTACATTTACAATTCCAGTATTGTTTTAGAAATGCTATTTTTCACCCATCCAATATGTGTTCATACCATTGTGTACCTATTGATCTGAAAAATGTCTTCTACAACGTTTTGCTATGTTTCTTCTTTTCCTTACTACCAATGAATTTACAAGACAGTATGCAGTAATTGCTCCATAACTAAGTGCATGGAGCTGAGCCCTTCTTGAGAAACCATCAGTTGTGCAGCTACTCAAGAACTTCCCAACATTTTGTGGAACCCAAAGGTTCATTACCATGTTCACAAGAGTCCTCCACTGATCTCTATACTGAACCAGATCAATCCAGTCCATACCACCCCACCCTATCTAAGATCAATTTTAATATTATCCGTCTACCTATGCCTTGATCTTCCTAGTGGTCTCTTTCCTTCTGGCTTTCCACCAATAACCTATATGCATTCCTTGCCTCCCCTGTTCATGCTACATGCCCTGCCTATCTCATCCTCCTTGACTTGATCATTCTAATTATATTTGGCAAAGTGTAAAAGTTATGAAATTCCTTATTATGGAATTTTCTCCAATACACCACTTAATTTCATTCCAAAAACAAAATTTCTCCAGTACCTCCAAAAGTTAATAAAATATTTATGGACAAGTACATACAATAAGCCTTTCCAAAAAATTCAAACAAACAATTATAAAAAGAAACTGCATTAACATGTATCACACATTCACACATTAGTATGTACTTATGAAAACAGCAAGACCAGGGTTGGGCACACTACAGTCCAATTTTGCTAAGCGAACACCCATCAGAGAAACAAAATATCAAGCATTGTATCAATATTGTAAAATATTTGATGTAGCCTATCATGTAATATTCTGGGCCATAAATGAGTTTAGCATCAACCTTATGGCTTGTCTGGTGAAAAACTAAAGAAGAGCACACATAATAAAATGGCTGCAACATTTCCCCTTGAAGGTCTAAATACTGTAACATGACAAAAACTGTAAATCTCTTCCCAAAAGGAGTACTATTTAACATATTTTGATAAATAATGACAAAATTTACATTACATGAAACCCGAGTTAGATATTCAGTAGAAAGACACATGACATTCTTATCAATTATACCAGTCCTGAGAGAAGAATGAAAAATGGCATCAACATCTATTTACATTCTTTTATGTAATACAAATTTAACCATGATAAGTCTGTTTTATTCCTTTCTTTTTCTCTTCTTGGAAATTTTATCTTGCACTAAATTTGAATTTATTTCTATTAATTTCATGTTTTGTTAACAATATGGAGCCTACACATGGGGAATGCTGTGCTTATATTCGTTACTTTCATACCATTTGTTAAGTATTACTGTCTTACTTTTAATTATACTGCTTTATGTGGTTTGGTCTTGTTAGCTGATGTTTCTTCCACCCTAGGTGCAATGAACTTTATTTCAACACAACCAATAAAAAACACACTAATATAAGCTCAGAATGAATTCCATTATTTGTGTGAACTGTTAATATTGCAGCTTTGTTGTTGTCATCAAAGATGAAAAGACCTGAACAAAAAACAATTAACACAGAAGTGAAAGTTTAATTCTTACAGAACAAAATACAGGCACTGCTGTAATCACAAGAAATCGTGATTTAGTTTCAGAACATATTTTTTATGTATGGTTAATTACATAAGATCATACAAGAAGTGCTTCCCATATTAAGTGGATATATTAGTAATTTTAGGAAAAAAAAAAACATTACAGCTGATGAAGTACCTTATACAAAACATATGTATTAGATCTGTACATTATCTTGTACTCACGTCCAGTAAGTGGCTGCGGTCTACCATGCATAGTGTTTTACCTTCCCCCCACCCCAAAAAAATATCACGGTGTTGTGCTTACTCAAATGGGCAACTTTTTCTCCTCCCTTACCTTATCTACAAAAGTATACATGGAACCCTGCATGAGAATTTTTCAGAACGTCATATTTGATTTATGTTATCCTGAAAAAAGTTCTAAGGCCATACAAACTGTTGAACTGCAGGAAATGGAATATCAGAAAACTGTTACACATCCCAGGATAAAGAGATTACAAGTCTGTTGGCTTTCATACATGCTGAATATTGTATTACATCAAACTGATAGCTCACTATTCATGTATTATGAAACTTAAAATAACTTCCTAACATGAACATCAAGGGGACAACCATGGGGCAAATACAAATTTATTTTTTCTGCACCCTAAGGTAACAATACATATTTTTTTTGGAAACAACTGTTCCTTAAGAGTCATATTTCAATTTATTTATTTTTGGGCAATTATTGTTAATGAAAAGACAGGGCACGATTGACCTTCTGTGAAATTAAAATGTCAGTTCTAGTTATGAGCAGTGCAAGAGTCCTACGAGAATCTCCATCTTTTTTTAAAGATAGGCATTATGTTGAGAAGCTCTTCACAAATCATACAATGACTAGAACCTATACCACTAAATTTTAATAAAAAAATTATTAAAATATATCATTACCAGGGCCAGGATTTTGATGACCTGAAAATATTTAAAAAATTACCTATAAAATGACCGAAAAAATCCAGAAAAATGACCTAAAATATGACCCAAAAATGTAATATGCAGGGCCTGGATTTTGATGATCTGAAATATTAAAAAAATGACCTATAAAATGACTGAAAAAATCCAGAAAAATGACCTGAAGGAGAAAAGAAAGAACACTTCGCTTCCATGTTATTCACATTTCAGAAAACATATGAAGATAATTTCCCTAAAATGGCCAAAAATGACAAGAAATACCCTTAAAAGTCCAAAAATTTGCCAAAAAATTAACCCCAAAATGAAAAAATGACCTTAAACCTAAAAAGTCAAAAAATGACAAAAAATTACCTATAAAATTTACATTTCTCTAACCAGCAGCTCATATCCGAGATTTATATATTTAAGAGCATCATACAGGATACAAGGAAAAAAAAAAGATGATATGTCATCAAAATACGGGCCCTGATTATTACACACATCTTTTTGTGATATTACATGACCAGATTACAACTTTAAAGTTGTTATTTATCGACAGGATTTCAATCTTCTACATTCATTCAAGAATTATGAAGTCAGTAGTCAAAACAGTAGTTTCAAGACAGTATACAAAAGAAAAACTACTAAATGGGCTGTGGGTTTTCAACTTATATTTAGGCTGATTCACACACTGTTCTAATATGATTCATTAGTTTTTATGTACAAACAAAACCAAAGACATGAACTTCGTTCCCATTCAGGTTAAATGACATGGTACATACTTTGCAGGCAGTGATAATATATTATTTTTGTGAACAATGTGCTCTCAGTCATAATAACTGATCTTAGTTTTGATTATGTGGGAATCAACCTGTTTTGCCCATACTATAATTTATTTTGTACTGAATATGGTGCAAGCACTCAGACTTAATTCTTTATCTGTATCTGACCATCAGTTTGGTATGTTTGGATAAATTTGTTGTTTCATGTCAATCACTGACTGTAGTCTTTCATCCAACTGCATGAGAGTAATGTGAGTAAATATGACTACAAAAACTAGACTTTTGTATCACCTGACTACAAAATAGCTATGAATATTATTAAATTAATATTAATGGGTATTAAATAATATATGTGAAGATGTATTAATGGAATGTTGTGTAGGGAGGGATGTAGAAGTAAAGGACAGAGTAGATTTGTCACAAGTTTATCCTGGCAGAGAAGTGAATGGGTACTTTCTAACCACGAAACAGAAGGAGTACTTAATACAACAATGTTCTGTAAACTGAAATTTTTGTTCCCATTATGTTAAAAACAAGATCTCAGATAAAAATGTGTTTGTTTCATATGAAATTTCAAATTAAGTATGGAAAAGAAGTAGGTGTGGGAACATCCCCACATAACACGCTGTTTCGCCTGTCTTTCAGGCAACACTCACTCCTAAGTGAATATCACATTGACAGACATTGCGCTCATATTTACACAGCACTCACTGTCCAGCCCAACTTCGCATCATTGCTGGCCAATCAGCGCTCACAATTGCAACTGCAAGTTTCACTCTGCCCATCAAGCATGATACAAAAAGGCGGAGCACAAAGCTCGCAATGGTCAGGAAAAATTTGGGACCAATTGGAGCAATTCAGTGGGCAATGAAATTCAGAGTGGATGAGGAGTGAGACTGCATTCAGTGCAGATCAGTGGATTCAGTTATTAGATACAGTTTCATTCATTGTCATTCTATCCAGTGTGAGTGAGAGAAATGACCAGGCCATTTAGTGTGGATTCAGGAATTGTCGGCTGATGTGAGTGCAGTTATTGGTGCTTAAAGAGAGATAGTTTGGGCAAAGTTTGAAGTGCTGCCGTACTTCAGCCAGCTGGCCTCAGGCATGGCGCTGTTGGCGCCCACTCAGTGTGAGGTACGATGGCATTCCGTGCTGGCTTCCTTTGACAAGCAACATGAAAATAGGACAGGTGGTCCAGACTTCTCTGCAGAAAAATGGCAACAGAGATACCTGGAAACCCCTCCTAGAAAAAGCAGAGACTGAGAAACATCTGGATGGGAAGGCCCTGTTCACTGGAATGCTGTGACTCTACGCAGCAATGCACAGGGAACTGGTGGAGTCTCTCCTGCCTGAACCCACTCAAGACACAGAGGATGCGCCCCACAGCAGACGTCGAAAGAGAAACAGTGACTCTGACGACAACGGCAGCAGCAGCAGCAGCACCAAGAAGGAGGCAAAGGAAAGATCTAGACCACTCCTGGTTTACCAAAAGCCGAGGCCTGTAGCAACAAAGTATTTCTTTGCCCCACTCAGGTCCGTACCCATGGACGGAGCACAAAGTGGCGAAGGGCCATCTACAGAAGACAACACTGGCAAAGGCAGACCACCACCTATAATCCTAACTTCTGAGGTTAACCTCCTTAGCCTTCAGAAAGAAATGAAAGTTGTTGTGACAGGGGAATTCTTCTTTTGGAACACCGCATCCAGTATCCGAATCACAACCAAAAATATGGCAGATTATAAAGCCACACAAAATCTACTGAATCAAAAAGGTCTCTCATTCTTTACCTTTTACACCAAAGGAGACAACCCTGTGAATGCTGTTATCAGGCATCTGCCGAGTAACACCTCGTCAGAAGATATCACAGTGGCCCTCCAGGAGCTGGCCTATGAAGTCATCAGCGTCAAGCAGATGGCAGCGAAACGTCCTTTTCCGACAGGACACACCCTCATATCCCTTTTCCTTTTCCTTGTCACCCTGGCGAGAAACCACAAATCCCAGGAAATCTTCAAAATCACTAACCTCTGCAACATAATTGTCAAAGTACAGGCTTACAAATCAAAAAGTGGTCTGACCCAGCGCTACAACTGCCAGCGTTTTGGCCACATTTGGGTCCACTGCAGGCAGCCTCCTCGAGGTCTATGGTGTGGGGGTGGTCACCGCCACCGTGAATGCCTGGAAAAGGAGAATACCAAGAGCATCCCAAGATGCTGCAACTGTGAGCTGAAAGATGGGGAATCACCACATCCAACCAACTACAGGGGCTGCAGTTATGCGAAGGAGGAGCTGTGGCGAAGGAAGAACCAATGCGTGACAAACCAAGGGTCTTCAGGAAGAACGTTCTTCTCCAAATATGCAACAGCCAAGCGGACATTCGCCTCTGTTCTACACAGCTCGGTGGAAGCGAAGCAACCCTCAGTGCAGCAGAAAGCATCTAACAGTCCCCAGAATCAACAATTCACCAACAAAGCTTCAGGTCAGTCAGTGCAGACAAAAATGGTAAATAGTAATGCAACGGACATGTTCGTTGCCTTCACTATGGTGCAGCAGATTATGACAGGGCTCTCACGTGCTGCATCAGAAGTNGCCAAGCGGACATTCGCCTCTGTTCTACACAGCTCGGTGGAAGCGAAGCAACCCTCAGTGCAGCAGAAAGCATCTAACAGTCCCCAGAATCAACAATTCACCAACAAAGCTTCAGGTCAGTCAGTGCAGACAAAAATGGTAAATAGTAATGCAACGGACATGTTCGTTGCCTTCACTATGGTGCAGCAGATTATGACAGGGCTCTCACGTGCTGCATCAGAAGTGGAAAAAGTTGCAGTTATCACCAAGGCTGTTTTTAGTCCACTGAATCATAATGGTGGTAACAGTCCATAGGCCTCTGAAAATTGTAGCGTTCAATGCCAACGGCATTGGGAGACAGGCCTATGACCTACGAAAACAGATGCAAGACCTAAAAATAGATGTGGCCCTTTTCTCGGAGACACATCTGAAATTCTATATTCCAAATTATCATATATATATATCGGAATGATCGCCAGGACGGGCATAAGGACGGAACTGCCGTTGCAGTCAAAAATGGAATCCCACATACTCATGTTGACCTGGCTCCCCTCCTTTCAGTAGAAGCAACGGGGGTCTGCATACCGATTGGTCATACTGAAATACTGCTTGCATCTGTTTATAAATCTCCACTTAGAGCGTGGAGAGACGCAGACATCACAGAGCTCTTAAACTTTAGAACAAAATCCATTTTGGCAGGTGATCTGAACGCAAAGCACCCTGTTTGGAATAGTAACGTCGCAAACCCTTCAGGTTTGAAGCTTTTAGATCTATTTGTTAATTGTAATTTTGAAATTTCGGTGCCACAATATCCTACCCACTTCTTTCCTGATGGGAGAGGTGATGTCCTGGACATTGTGGTCCATAAAGACGTTCGGCTCTCAGAGGTCAGAGTTCTGGACATCATGGATTCAGATCACCTACCTATAATGTTTTGCATCTTGGATCATGTTAAAGCCAGGGAAATCTTGGATCCAGTTGAAAAATTCACAGATTGGGAGTGGTTTCAAAGCCTCACCCCTGCCCTAGTATCCCCAAGAATCAAAATTAATTCATGTATAGAAGCTGACAAAGGAGCTTGCGACTTTGCAGCTTCTATACCATCAGTATACAGGCTGTCAACAGAAACAACTTCATTTCATAATCGCAGCCCATCTGGCCTAGACCAACTACTCAAGCACAAGCAGAGGCTCAGAAAACTTTGGCAAGGAACCCGGGATCCAGCATGCAAAACGGCAGTGAACTGGGTCACTAAAACTATAAGGAGAATGGCCCAGAAGAAGGCACACTTGAATGGTGGGAAACCAACACAGAGAATTGTGAGATTACACGTCATGCAATATGGTCTATTGCGAAATCCCTCACAAAGAGGGGTGGACCAAAGGCACCAACTGCAATTCACGGGCGTTTCGGACCAGTATTTTATCCAAACGAAAAAGCCAATATAATTGCAAATTATCTAGAGAACCTGTTCAAGCCACACAAACTGTGTGACACTGACCATGAACGGCAGGTGGAGGGCCGAGTCCAAGCTCTGCTGACTACAGCCGAAGAAAACCCCTCACCTAAATTTCGATCATGTGACGTCTCCAAACAAATTCGATCCCTAAAATTAGGAAAGGCCTGCAGAATTGATGTCATTTCAAATGAATGTCTCAGGCACCTTCCAAAAAGAACTCTCATTCATTTAACGCATTTATTTAACCGCCGTTTTCAACTCGGTCACTCCCCAGCACCTTGGAAGGAAGCCAAATCATAGCTGTGCCAAAAACCGGCAAAAACCCAAAATTCCCACAAAATTTATGTCCGATTAGCCTCCTGTCCACTATGGGCAGACTTTTCGAGAAAGTATTTCTAAGAATAATCCATGGACACTGAGAGGAAAGAAACTTGCTAAACACAAGTCTGTTTGGTTTTCGTGCGTCACAGCACGACACTCCAATGCATGAGGCTAACGGATCACGTCTCTCTTAATTTTAATAGCAATATGTCGACGGCTGCTATATTCTTGGACATTGAAAAGGCCTTTGACACAACATTTATAAATTTATAAATTGATTAAATCACTCAAAGAAAGAAGAAATTGTCATCAATCACGTTCAAAGACTGCAGTAGAGAAAACAAAATATCATCTAGATTTGATTATTCCAAATACTGAATCACCTATAGCTATTAAGATTTGTAATTTGGGTTACTCACCAGAGTTCTATAAACCTATTGTTGAACCATGTGAGGTAAAGATTGAACGAACACTTAAAGGAACTACATTCACATTAACAAGTAAGCCACTTCTTGAAACAGTGTGGGGTGATTCAATTAGTGTTCCAGACTTAATCAAATTGAAATCATCAATTCAATCCTATAATGGAGTTGCATATCTTAAGATGGAAAATCATTAATTGATACTCAATGGAACTAAACAAACACCAATTGAACTACCCAAAATAACATAACCCAAGAGTATTTTTAAAACTATGGCATTTTCTATAGTTAAATCACGGAAAGCGGTTTGGAAAGCAAAATCCGCAATCAAATCAAAACCAACTCTTGGAATATCCCACCAAGCATTATCTGAATTTTCAATCCCAACAGTGAAGATATGGATGTCTCCATTACATCACTCATTGAAGATCATTACGGTAGAACTGACATTGAGGATCTTCAAGTAAAACTCCAATCAGTAACTCCTCCAATGCAATCACTCATGGAAGCAACACTTCCAGAGTATTAACTGGATTATTTTCAATCAACATAAAACGAGAATTTACAACAACTGAAAGAGTGGACCATGACAGTGATTATCTCATGTGTATTGAGGTATATGCATCAGGTCTTGACACTCTACCAAAAAATGACGAGTTAGCTCAAGTAACAAAACTCATTTCTTGGGATACAATCACATGTGAACCTCTCAACATTGAATTTGAGACACTTCTTCAGTTTCAACAATTCATTCAACTTGCTCAACTATATGGATTTATCCTTGTTTGGAAAATTTGTGACACTTGAAACTGAACTCAATTTGGCTAATCAGTTCCTTAAGGAAATTGAAGGAGATCCGTTCGCAGGAATAAAATATGGAGGAATTGCACAGGAAATAAAGAACCTATTATATTTCTGTGTCAGAACTTTAATAGTTCTTGGTGGGGAAGAATCACTTCGAACATATGCTGGTTATGGTGGGGATAATTCTCAATTAGCTGTTCCTATGAAAATCACCTTGGATGCCCTCATTCAGCGTATGAAAGAGCATCAGGCTAAGTTAGCAACTGCGGCACATGGCACCCCGGCCTGCTATATAAGCTCACAGAGTTACAATTTTCGACCAGTCTTGTAAAGCTGATTGCTTCATTTCTAACAAACAGAAAATTTAAAGTTTCAGTAGAAGGCGAACTTTCTTCGCCCAGAAAAGTAGCGGCAGGGGTGCCACAAGGTTCCGTCCTTGCCCCAGTGCTGTACAGCTTATATATAAATGATGCCCCCGCGGCACCTATAATACACCTTGCTCAGTTCACGGACGATACTTGTATATATGCAACAGAGAAGCATGAGCGACGAGTTTTCAACAAACTCCAGTGTGGTCTCACTGTCGTGGGGTCATGGTGTCAGCCCTGGAACTTAAAGATCAATGAAGGGAAGACTCAGGCTCCAGAAGGCGTAGAATGCCTGAGGACACCCTACATCTAAAAGGATGGAACATCCCATTTGAAAATAGTATAAAATATCTCGGTGTCACCTTCGATAGGATGATGACATGGAGACTGCACGTAGAGAAAACCGCAGCTAAGGCCCTGGGCACGTACATTAGGATATACAGTCAACTCTTGATTATCCGGGGGTGGATAAACTGGGGCTTTTTTGAGGCTTATATGTTGTTTAATATTCATTCACTTTTGTATCACATGGTGAGTTGTAACACTATTTTCGCACTAGTGTAAACCGAGCTCTGCATTTTTTGGTCCCATTATGCTAACACTATGTTCTAGGGTAGGGGTGAAAGAATGCAAGGATTTGTGGAAAGTTTCAAGGACAGATACACTGCCCCAGTTCGTCTCTTTGTATCGATCTTCAAGTGCGTTAGCAAAATGTTAGGGTGTAAAATGAAGCGTGTTGTGTTAAGTATTCAACAGAAACTCGTGTGAGCCGGGCTTCGAAATGTTAAGCAGTGACGAAACCGTAAGTTCAGTGGGGGTGCAGCCAGAAGAGCGGGAAGAAAGTGAGAATGAGGAAAAGGTGGACAGTGCTGCTAGTAAGAAAATATCACATGGTGCTGCTCTTAATCATTTGGAATCCTTACTAGACTATCTTGAGAGCGAAGAGAACAGTTTATTAAGTGACAAGCTAATATTACGTAGGCTTCGTACGGATATCCGTAAAAAGGAAAATGTCGCGAAAAAGCAAACAACAATATTAATTTTTTTAAAGTGTTAAGTGTGAATATTCGTAAAAAGTGTTGGATGTTGTGACGTCGGCTCATGTCCGTGGTCTGTGTGCGCACTTCTCCCCTCTACTGTCTTCCCCTTTTTCTCCTTCCTTGCTGAGCTGGCTTAGCGGCCTATGGTGGGCAGCTATGGGCTCTTGACTTCCCAACCATCGAAGGGGTAGGTTGTTTCCATTTCAGACCACCAGTCGAGGCCATCCTTGACTGTCCAAATTTATTTCTCTACATGGCATTCAAATTCAGAAAAGCAAACTCTGCGATCATTTTGTAACAGGTATTTGCATCATGTTTTGTATTCTTTCTTTATTTATATATTATATTTATTCTTTGTTGTTAGTTGATTTGGTTATCTGTTTTTGGGTATTTCCGCCTTGCTTATCTCTTTGTCCTCCACTGCTCATCTTATCCTGTGATCATGAGAACCTATACGGACCCAGAAGATCCCACGCTTCAGTTGTCGAACAGTGTGATTGAAATAACTAATTCACACTTCAGTATAATGTAAAAAAAGTATTAAATAGGTCATGAGATGACATAAAAATGAGGTTGAGTAAATTTAAATACAGGTAGGCCTATAGTATTATGATGGTACAGTATTACAGTACTACTTTTAATAACATTTGTCTTAATCGGGTTTTCGATTAATAGTGATTTCCATGCCCACCATTATCCCGGATAATAGAGAGTTGATTGTACCCTATATTCAAAAGCAAACATTTGAGCACATACATTAAATTAATCATGTACAAAGCACTAATTAGATCAATAATGACCTATGCCTGTCCCACCTGGGAGTTTACAGCGGACACTCATTTGATAAAACTGCAGCGCCTGCAGAACAGAGTTCTCTGCGCTATCGGCAATCTTGACAGGCGCACACTGGTCCGCAATTTGCACTTGGCATTCAAAATTCCGTATGTGTATGATTACATAACTAAATTATGCAGGAGGCAGGCAGATGTCATCCTAAATCACAAAAATCCAAAAGTACGTGCAATTGGACAAGGAGAAGCCAGGCATAGGCAATGTAAGAGGCTTAAACTTGGCGGCAGTCAAGCCTACGACCGTTCAAGTGTCTAACTGCTGTTTCGGATTGTTAAATAAATTGATGCATAGGCTGCTGCACATTTCTACACTGACAGATGTCCCTGTACATATTAGTATTAAAATTTAATATCAGTTATATTGTGAAGAGTGTAAAAAGAAAGAAAAAAAAAGGGATGTATATATCGCATTTTCTCCAATAAGGCGTAGCAAGTGAACACCAATTAAAAACAACAAAAAAGAAAAGACCAACCACTCCTTTTATTGTTAAGGAGGAGCAACTAAGAGAGAGAGAGAGAGAGAAAAGGCTACACTCAAAACAAAAATATGGCCATGGGTCCCAGCGGGGCCCAATGCCAAGAATGACAGTGCCGGCTGATTGTCGGCAGTAAGCTTCTGCTCTGCTCTGGCAATGGTCAGTGATCACATTCAGTTCAGAGCGATCGGTCATCAGAGGCATCAGTTCTTCACTGCTACCAGACAGCTAATATAGCAGTCGCAGCTCTCCAGCAACTTGCTCTGCGACCAGGCGGCCAACGTAACTGTTGCATCTCTCCAGTGTTCACGCCAGCAACCAACCATAGGCAGCTTTTTTTTTCTACCGGCACACTGGTCAGACAGGCCAGCTGAGCGGCCGTAAGACTTGGCTTACTACGGAGGAGCGAATTCTGCCAGCACACTCACAGTGGAACAAACTGCCCTTCGAGGGCCAGCCAACTTTTGAACAGTCCACATAGCTTCGCAACTATTCCTGTAAATTCAATTTGTACGATTTAATATATACAATTGTTACAGTTCTACGTGGTTGTCATTTAGAACATCGACAATCCCACATAAGTTTAGGAGGAAGCCAGCAGAGCTGCTCCCTCAATAATGATTCCAATAAGGAAGTGACAGGCAATAATAACAACTGGGGATTTGTCAAAGGGACTCTGAATAACACCCTTGATCTAGCTTCGCCGACTTTCGAAGGACTGCCCGAGCAGAATTTATACAGATTAAGAGTATCCCTCCACCGCTTCACTTAGCAGTAGCGAGACACTCTGTGAATGGCGTTTCAGTCACCACCTGGGCTGACGTTATAGGAGAACAACTGAAGACATTTGATGACTTCCGGGATGCCTTCCTAGATAAATTCTGGAGCCTACAGTGTCAAGCCAAGGTTAGAGATATACAAGGTGGTTCAAATATGACCGGGACTGATTTGTGTGTAAACAAGTCGCACTGTGCAGCAGCTGTGTGACCTTGATAGAGTGAAGCCAAAACCTCCACCCTCCCTCCTGTTCTGGTTAGAACCTGTTCAGTCCTGTCTGGGAGTTGCTAGAATGATGAGCGAACAGAAGGTACTGCGGAGCATGGAACAACGCACTGTGATCAAATTCCTCATTGGAGAAAACGTCCTGTCCACTGAAATTCACCACAGACTCCAACAACAGTATGGGGAAGAGTGTCTCTCACAGACCCGTGTGTTTGAGTGGTGTAAGTGCTTCATAGAGGGCAGAGCGCGCGTGGAAAATGAACCGCATGATTGTCGGCCACGAACATCTGTCACCGAGCCAACATTGATCATGCAGATGTGCATATTCGTGAGAATAGGCATATCACTATCAAGGAACTTGGAGCAATGCTGTCCATCAGTGTTGGTAGTGTAGAAGACATCGTGAAATACCACCTGCACTATCACAAGGTGAATGCACGGTGGGTACTACACACTTTGACGGATATGAACAAAATGGTGTGCAGGCAAGCTGCCAGTTGTCTTCTACAGCAGTTTGAAGATGAAGGTGGTGCATTTTTGAAGTCTATAGTGACCATCGATGAAACGTGGGTGCACTACTTCATTCCCGAGTCCCAGCAGTCATCACGAAAGTGGCGGCATACCAGTTCTCCCAAACCCAAGAGAGCACTGAGGAGCAGTTTGGCAGGAAAAGTGATGGCAACGTTCTTCTGGGACTGGCAGGGGGTTATCCATGCAGACTTTCTGACAGATGCCAGAATAGTCAATGCAGCTTATTACTCAGACCTCCTGGCAACATACATGAAGGAAAAGATCCAATCCAAGCGGAAGACAGGTGGCAAATGGGTAGCCTTCCTTCAAGGCAATACATGCCCCCATACGGCCAAAACAATGGAAACCCCCCGGAAATTGAAACGGAACCTTCTGACACATCCGCCGTACAGTCCAGATTTGGCCCCAAGTGATTTCTACCTGTTCGGAAGGCTCACATCAGACTTGCAAGGCGGTTTGTGGACGACGACGCTGTCATCCAAACTGTTCGGGAGTGCATATGCCACCAACCACAAGCCTTTTTTGAAAAGGGCATCAGGATGCTACCAGAAAGTTGGAAAAAATGTGTTGACTCCAGAGGGGAGTACGTTGAAGGCTGACATGTGCAAGTGAGTGCTTGGAAATTATGGGTTTTAAAAAAATCAGTCCCCGTCATATTTGAACCACCTTGTATCAAGACCGGTATGATACATGGGGAGGGTTGAGTTACGGCGATCACTTGTTGAAATATGCTGTCAAAGCCAAGTACTTAGAACCCCCAATGTCTAATTTCGAACCCCTAAACGTTTTAAAGGAGCATTACCCTATCCTCTTAAGGAAAGCGTGGATTGGTGCCAAACCACGGACTCTGCAGGATGCGGCGGCATTCCTAACTGACGTGATGACTGTCGAAGAGAACCAGGAGACGCTAGAGCCGAGACGACCTGTATACCAAGGGAAACGCGATAATTAAAATAGGCAGCGTTCGGACCCACGAGATGACACCCGATGGAGCTAGAATAGGAACCAAAGGCACGCAGGGAGGTATGAAAGCGGACCTGACAATCGCAACGCTTACAGGAACCAGGAGTGGAAAGAATGAGGGAGCGATCACAGAGAAAATCGGAATCACGACCCAGACAGAAACGGGGGTAGGAGGAATCAAGCTGCGACCGTGCCCACCCCTTCATACGGCACGGAAACTAGAGATCGACAAGACCGATGGGAGGAAAACAGAAGTTAGGCACTATAGCGGCTGATATGGCGTCTATTGGCACGGCAACAGGGGCCAGCGTAATTGAATACGATGTTAAACACCCGAACGAGCGACATAATCCATATAAACAATTGGCAGCTTCAGGCGAGAACGAAAATAATTATGACGGCAGAAATGCCGGAGAACTGACGACTTCTCCCCTTGTTAGAGCTGGAACACACACAGCGACATCGGTCATACGACGTCCATATGGTTCATGTCGCATTAAGTAGTAGAATATAAAGTGTAGTCTTAGCTTTCATACGTGACGACATGCAACATCTACCGTACGACAGTCGGAGAGCAAAGAAATGTATTTCGTCGCTCTAGTGTGAGAAGGTCGTACGGCAAAAGAATCGTACATTTTTCCATATGA